TTCACGAGTCGATACTCAAAGGAAAATTTAAAGATGAGGAAGTTCTCATTCCAAGGATTCCGATGATCCCAACGGATATGCCCTTTGAGTTTAAAAGAATTCAATTCCCGATTCGTCTTGCCTTCGCCATGACGATTAACAAATCACAGGGCCAATCCTTGACTATTTGTGGCCTCAATCTAGAAAATTCATGTTTTTCTCATGGTCAATTGTACGTGGCATGTTCACATGTCGGCAAACCATCTGCTTTATTTGTTCTTGCGCCTGACAAAAAAAAAACAAAGAATGTCGTTTACCACAAGGTGCTTGAATGAAAAGAGTTAATCGTTTAATTCAGTCATTTTTTGCTGACACGTGTTGAAGTACTTAATTTTTTTTTAATTCTCTTTCTGTATGTATTATTTATTATAATAAAATACTTTTTTTATATCTATCTGTATTTTTATTTTGTATTATTGTATTACGTTCATCAAAGCCTAAATTAGTTCAGCTAAAAGGTAACACGACATTCATTGACTGTTAGGCGGTACGAAGTTCGCCGGGTCAGCTAGTTAGTTTAATATATTTCAGTAATTATTAATACATGGAAGACTGGTTTAGCCATGATAATTCAAAAATACGGTGTAACAAGCTTCAATGTAATGAATTCCTCAGTTTAACACATTTTTCGAAATCCCCTGGAACTCCCCTATAAGAGCTAATACAAAATATACCTCGACATTACAAATACATTTATCAAAAACCTCTTTATAACTAATTTTTAATCATTACAGAATATACATAGAAGAAATTACTAACAATTTTTTTAAATTTAGAAACTTGACGTAATACACTCGGCGTCAAAAAAATCGCACATCCAAAAAAAATAATTTAAATACTATTTAACGCAACAGGCCAATGGCAATGTTGTGGTTTGAGGGTATCATTCGAAAGGTAATTTCATTAGCTTTCAGGAATTTTAATTGAATTTTACTTTTATAACGAGACGAAAGAGAAATTAAAGAAAAAGACAGGGTATGTACAAATTTGCAAATTAATAATTTAAAAAAAAAACTTAATAAATACAAAAAAGTTCTTAAAACCTAGTGTTACCCCCCCCTTGCGTTGATAACGGCTTCCATGCGATCTTTCATGGACCTTACAAGGGTCGCAACGGCCTCTTGGGGTATTTGTTCCCACTCTTCAAGTACCGCATCTTGGAGCTCTTGAAGAGTGGTTGGAGCTGGATCTCGAGCTGGCACGCGCCGTTTTAGGTCATCCCAGAGATGTTCTATTGGGTTAAGGTCTGGACTTCGTGCTGGCCAATGCATAACAGGGATATCGACCTCCTGTAAATAATCCCGTACAATAGCCGCGGTGTGGCAACGAGCATTACCATGCATTAACATGAATCCATCGCCGACCTAACTAGCATACGGGACCACATGTTCCTCCAGGATGTCAGTAATGTACCGACCAGCATTTAATGACCCTTGCCCACGGCCACCCAGAGTCCGGGAAACGCACACAAGTTCCGTTTTCCCGTCGACGGAAATGCCACCCCAAAACAAACACGAGCCACCCCCGTATTCGACGGATTCTTCGAAGCAGGGTTGTGTGAACCTCTCACCCTGTCTTCTGTAGACCCTTCTACGTCTGCCATTGCAGAAGAGACAGACCCTCGTCTCATCAGAGAAGAGTACGGTCCGCCACTGTTCTAGAGTCCACTCACAATGATTGCGAGCAAACTCTAGGCGATCTCTGCGATGCTGTGCAGTAAGTTTTGGACCTTTAGCAGGTCTATGGGCTGTTAAACTCTTTTCGTGTAACCTTCTTCATATCGTAGAAACACTCACAGATGTTCTCAGAGTTGATCGAAGCTGTTGTTGCAACTCAACAGCATTTGTAAAACGGTTTCGTAAAGATGTCGTAACGATGAAACAGTCATCTCTTTCTGATGTGCACCATTTTTTTCCAGATCCCGGTTTTCTAACATAACCACCAGTCTGCTGAAAACGTTAGAACACCTGTCGAACTGAAAAACGGGACAGGTTCAACTGTCGAGCAACGTCACACTGCCGCATCCCCGACTGCAATAGGGCAATCACTTGAGCGGCTTCTTCAGAGCTGGTGTCCATCTTTACTTGTTCTTACTTGGGTTACTTGTTCACGTGTGTTCACTGCAAAGTCTAAATTACGACTGACCCATATTTCATCCAGATCGACTCTTTTTATACCCTTAGGTGGTGTAACTAGCGTCCTTACTACCGAGCATTTGACAGTGTTTATTTTTGACACTCTATAATAATAAATGTTTTAATGATTCATGATTTTTTTATTAATAATGTAAAGCTATTCAAATACTCATTTAAAACATACCAATATTTATATAAATATAATTCGTTTCTAGCCATTACAGCCATTTTTCGCGCAAACTCAGAGAGGTGCGATTTTTGTGACGCTGAGTGTATATCCTATTAATCATTCCCACTGGTTCAGACATGTAATTTTTTTTAGTATGTAATGTTAATTAAAGTAAAAATAAATAAATTGTTAAAATTAATCGTAGTCCCACCTAACCTCTATATAACAAACTTCATTTTAATAAATTATTTGATATACCGAATATTTTATAATTCCCTTCAGTTTCATAAAAAACTAAAATTGATGAAACAAAAGTTTGATGTTAGGTAATTATATTGTAAAGGTTTGGCAAACATTGATAATCCACAATATGTAGATAATGTTTCTTATTTTGATTTCAGTGTAAAATCTAATTAAATATAGGGCTTAGCATTCCATTGACATCCGTCAAGTTGGGGGTTGATATTTTTTTTTTACAGAAAGATTATATTATTATAAGCCCACATGCAAAGTTTCAACATTCAGAGACGCTTACTTTTTGAGAAATAATTATTGAAAATCATTTATTTTTTCCATATGTATGTCAATCCCTACCACAGATTATATTCCTATATAAGAATCCTTTCTCACCAATGAATGTTCCATTTTACGTACAGTTCAGTAGTCATACATTCGGTAACCTTTTATTTTATATAAATTTACTCAAGTAATTATATGTTGTACTCATTTCAATAGTTTTCATGCATGCACATATATTTAAGGTTATACATATTTCAATTACAGAATTATTTTCTTTATGAGCTACTAAAATGTGTAGTGTTTACTGTATTTTGCCGGCTTGTGGAACTAAAAGTAAAACTGATATTTCCAAAGAATTAATTAAAGCAATACAATATGTGTATAAAATTGATTAATAAGTCATTAATTATATTCGATTTGTTTTAACAGTACCTATTAGAGCAGTTATAAAAAAAATAGGTTAGGTTCAACTTATGTCAAAGAATCAAATTGATTGAACCCAATGCCACCTGGTACGAGTCTGTCCTACCCCTAGAGAAGAGAAGAGTTTTTATAGAGCCGGAGGCACATAGGTAGAACAGACTCCATAGAAGCCGAAAAGATGGCCTTGCCCTATTAAACTAAAAACTTGCTCAATCAATAATATCAACTAATAAAATAACTCATAAACTGTTTCAAGTGAAGTTAGTCAAGCACAGGGGTGCGCGGGCGATACGTTTTCAAGTTCACTTCACATTTCAATGTGTACTCTATGTGTTTACTTGAGCGAATGAATATTACGAGTTGAAAATTTATGTTTTTTTAAAGATTTTTAGTGAAAATGGAGGATAATAGTGTTCCTTGTAATGAATTGAAGTGTGTTAAAGTGCTAATCGGTGAGGAAAAGGTAAAATCTTTAAAAATGAAATTTTAATTCAATAAACATTTTTTCATAATTTAATAGATACAGGACTCTTTAGTATTAAAGTTTAATTAAGCTAAGAATATTTAAAGGTTTATTAATTCAATATTTATATTACGAGATGAGTTAAAAATATCATTTTGTACGGCAACATAAAATATGAGATAGGTATAAGTTTATTTTATAGCAAATAATCTTTTAATTTTTTTTTAATGTGAAGCCTAAATTTTAATGTAATAAATCAAAAGAATAAATGTATAGATGTTTTCAAAGAATATTTCCTTTAGTCCTTCAGTATATAAAATTTTAATAGCGCCGTCTACTTAATTCTACAGGTGGAAGTCATTTTATCGAACAAAAATTGATTGACTCTCATGGTGGTACATAAAGAATATGCTAGATAGCACAAACACGGCTATTGGCTTATTTAATAATTCAATATTTATATTACTATATGAGTTAAAAATATCATTTTGTTTGGTTTATTAAAAATGAATAACTATATAATAAAAAGTCATTATTTTGTGGAAAAAAAATTGTAATGCTTTATCTTTTCATTATACCATATCTAATTCCTATCGTAATCTGTTCTTCTATGCATATAACTTAAACAAAATTATTAATTTCGACGTTTCACATCTGCCAGGCGTTTTTTTTTTAATGTTGTACATAGTTAGTTTGTACTTTGTTCATGCTTTTATTTTGTTCGAGTATTGTATTGTATGTAAATATCTTTTTATTTTGCTCAAAAACCCAAACAAGGTTTTTTCTAAGCCACAGAAGGTATAGAATTGCAGATATATCATACAATCTTTCTAGCAGTAGTATGCCTTCCGTGTACTTTGTTAAACATGTCCTTGACAGCACTGAATATGAAACTGAAGAGTGGAGACAGATCTTGATTAGTGTATTTTTATAAAACTGCTAAAATGATGAAAGTAATTAGATTTTTTTTCAGAACTAAAGGGGTTTCTTTATATCGAGTATAGATTTTATATATTATTTCCAACACAATATGTGTTCTGACAGTTTTGTATACAGTCTTATATTAAAAAAATTACATGAGTGATGAACTTTTAATACCAATTTGAATTCTAAAACACAAGGAACAAGGTTACAAAGAAAAAGACATTTCAAAAGTAAAGATAATAATACATGAGTTAAACAAGAGTAGTCTTTTTAAAATATGAGCTTGTTAAGGTTATACTTGTGAAATATTTTTAATTCTAAAATTTACCTTCATCAGCAAAACTTAAAAGTGGAGTATTTTTGATAGGTTTGTTTTCCTTTTTTTGACTGATGATTGGAGGTGGTGGCGGCTCAGGATCGCCGTCCTCGTCATCATCCGCGCAGAAAACGCGTCTCTGAATTTTCTTTGGTTTGCGAAACAGTGACATTTTCACTCGACAGAACTTACGATATCAGCATTAGCTATTCACAGGGCAATCTTTATTTCATAATTTCATATTACTTATTAAACAATCGCAAAATGCAAAGTTAAAAAACTAGAACAAGAAAGCTTCAAAACTTCAAATTCAAAGTCCATAGATAAACTGTACTGAGTTGTACTCTGTGCTTGTCAGTGTCAGATCGGAACATGGAGGTTTCTCTAACCTCCATGGAATGGAACTATGGAGTGTAGAGGTAAGGAGTACAGACTCTGTATAAAAAAGTATCCGTAAGAAAGCGCTAAATATGGGTGGCGCCACTGTAGCTAAAGTCTAAATTTTAAAGAACTTTTTATAATTTTTTATTGCACGGACTTTCACCATAATTCTTTTTACAATAATTGTTTTATTCCTTTCAAAATTTTCATTTTCAAAACACTCTTACTATATAAGCCGTAAAATACGGCGCTTTATCGTACCCTGTATAGCTACTTGAGCGCTGTTGTGGAGAGTTTTTGAACTGTTATTTACTGCTTACGCGTGGACACATTTTCTAAAAATTGATGTTTATCGGTACCAATTATTTGTTTGCGCGTTAAATATTTGTTTAAGTATCTAAAAAAATATGGCGGGTGCTGTAAAATAATAAATTTTCTTTTTTTGCTTAAAAATGACGTTAAAAGAATAATTATAAAAAATGTAAATTTGTAGATTTTCACATGCGCAATCAACACCCGATATTAGTTTATCCATAAGTTATTTATTTACATCGCAAATAAATAATTAAATAATCCCATAACCTCAGCCGCAGCGTCTGAGCCAGAGAGTGCAATATCCCTAGAACGTTAGCGCTTAAAGCGCTTTTTTTCGACGAAACAAGTGCTTTGTTGTAGATATATGTGTCGTTTTCTCCATTGATTTATATTACACTAGATTAGTAATTACAGCGCCAAAGCGTTGCCACTGCACATATGGCCACAGTCATATGTCTAGCTAACGTCAATTTAGTGTTCAATGTGACGCCGACAGAGTTGAGCCGAACGATCCCCGACAAAAAATTGGTAAATGCGTAGTGAAAGAATGCAATTCCAGGTCAAAAAAATATTATAAATCAAGCGGAATCACTTTCCACACATAAGTTTTAGTTCTTGAAGCTGCTGATAATCCAATATCTGTTGCGTAGATATGATAGAGTTAGTCTGGCCCCACCATGCAGGGTCCTCTTGTGCGCTTGGTCGATCAGTAACTCCGTTAACCTGTCATTGTAAGGTAAGATAATTGGATGTTTTTGTTCTTGACTTAAGTTGGCATTTTCCAGACGTCCTCCTACACGTAAGATTTCGTGTTTGTCCAGGAATGGATTTAAGTTTAAAATGCTGCTTGTTATTCGCACTTTATGATGTTTATTGAGTTGTGCAATGTCGTCGGCGAAATGATTAGTTTGTATAGCCTTGATAATGCTATGTACATAACAGCTACCGCTCTGGCCGTGAACTTGATCATTTCAAACATACGACAAATACAACAGCAACTCCTAGACCTAGTAACTGACGTGAAGGACGGGAGAGTTGACACCCATCTCATCAAGCCCAACCAATTTGAAGATCAGCTCAACATCATCTCCGGTCATTTACCAAGCGAGTTATCGCTACCCTGTGTGAACACACGCCATTGCACGCGAAGCCTATACAAGCTGGCGCGAGTGCACGTGCGCTTAACAAGTGCATACATAATATTCGAAGTGAAGCTACCGCTAATAAACAACGAACAATATGAACTTAACCACATCATTCCTATTCCGCAAATAACTGGACACACAGAGAAAACTATAGTACTCACATCTGAATACCTTGCTGTAAACCTAAAAGGGGACATGATAATACCCTTAGAAAACCGAGATGTATCATCATGCTTAAATCTGCAAGAAAACAAAATGTTATGTGCTATCAATCAACCTATTTACAACATTAAGGTAGCCGATACATTATGTGAAGCGCAAATATTAAACAATGGCGACTCATCAACATGCCGCACAAGAGTATTGGATTGCAACGACAGGTGGGTGCGATTACACAATCGTGGCGCGTGGCTGTTCTCCTGTTGCGAAGACTGCACGATGCGCATTTTCTGCCCAGCTGGAGTGACGTCACAGCACTTACACGGCACGGGGATTATGTTACTCGGACTTGGGTGTATGCTCAAGGGAGAAAGCTTCATCATTCATGCTCACAACGACTATCACAGCGAGTTGAAACTAACAGGCAGTGAAGAAAGAATGTACATGCGTGAATCAAGCCTGAACCACATACTGACAGACTTTAATCATACATTTGGACCTGAAGATCATAAAGACGCCTTACAAGAGCTGAAAAACAACATTGATAAGGTCAAGGAACAGCAACAAACACTGAGTGTACAATCACTCACACATGACACACACAACTATGTGTTGTACACCGTAGTCGGATTTATTATTGTAGCCTTCATTGCATGGGGGACATTCCGGCTGAAAAGAAGATGTCAAGGCTGCAGCGTGAATCTTCGCGACAAGCCAGACCCCAACAATGTCGAGCAGCCAACCCAAGGACATTCATCGGAGCATGGGGTCTCGGACATCGATAGTGTGGATGCGGTGATCGCAACGGCTGCCCGTAAACTCAATAGGGGTTCATCGCCTTAAACTTTCTTCTTGTTTATAAAATTGGCAAGATGTACGAGCAAGTACATGATATTTCAACAGTTTAGAAAATAATGCTGATATCGCGCCTGCGCGCGCGACACGTTCGCTATAATTACATTTTTTATTCATAAGTATTTTCAGTACAATAAACGCTCTCTACGGAAACGGACACAGTTTTAATTACCACATCCCGTAACGTAGAAGATACAACCTACATTAATATACTACATATCAATTATATGTAGAGGGTCACAATTCACAAAATACCCCCTACAAGTAGATTCTTTATTCTGAGCTGAGAATATATATATATATATATATATATATATATATATATATATTATATATATATATATATATATATATATATATATATATATATATATATATATATATATATATATATATATATATAGCGGGCTTCAAGGGAATCTATTCGAGAGTAAAGTGAGTAGTATATTATGTAAAGTAGGTAAAGGTACAATATGGTACATCTACGCTAGTTTGTTCTGTGTCTTCACGTTTCATTACAATCAGCTTAGTCATTTCGAAAGCAATTAGAGATATACACAAAAAATTTTGATTATGTCTTTTTTTATGCAAATAATATAACATATGCAATTTACTGTGCAGAATTTTTTAAATTATGAACAAAATAATTGTCAGGTTAGGCTTTACGGGCGTAAACCTTGTGTGCCTTCATATTAAATATATACTAATATGTCTTTCTAGAGGTGTCCCAGTAAAATTTATTTGTATCGATGCTTTATGGTACCAAAGTTGCATGAGCATTTATTTAAAAAATTTGTTTAAAATTATTAATGAGTTTACAATTTAAATCATGTATGTATATAAAATATTACTTTTGTACCTATGTAAATTTCCATTAGAGTTTTGATTTTTTAAAGTTAGTATATTCTTTAAATGAATTTAAATATAGAATACCAAATAACTAACATATTCTATTGTTAATTTTGAATTACACCGCCAATTTTCATAACATTTGAGAAGACACTAAAGCCATCATGAGCTCGATCTTGAAAACAAAGCACTCACCTAAAATCTCAAAATTACTGATTAATTATTCAATCCAATGTTTACGGCAAAATGTAAATTAGGTTTTTAATTGAAGTAAAAACTTCTATAGAATCGTTGTCATTTGAAACTGGATGAAACGAAAAAGCGACAGTTAAAAGAGATAAACGTATATACCTATAGGATTTAGTCGGAGTGGGAATGAGATAGAATACAGCGTAGTAAGCAAAAGTAGCTTAATAGCAGGGTGCGGACCGCGAAATCAAAAGTCGTGGGTTCAAATCTGTCATTAAATTATTATTTTTCAGCTCATCTTTGTGCGGAGCTTTAAAGATAGTTAATATACATTTAACTGTTAAAATAAACAGCTAAAATTAACAAATTTACTAAATAAATAAAATTAACCATATTGAATAAAATTATCCTAATCAATCCCTTCATTATAATCGAAGATTTCATAACTTATCAATTTATATTAAATTATTCGTGTTTATATCATCTTAAGCCTATCTTATATACCACTTTATGAGTTAATCAATTTTTGTTCGATAAAATGACTGTTCCAATAGAATGAAGTAGATGGCACTATTACAAAGCAATTTTATTTGAAAGAAAACTAAAGTCACAGTCCAAATGTTGAATATACAGTTAAATAATGATTCTTACACAAATATATAATGCTATAAAATAAAACTTTTATCTTATATTTTTGCCGCACTTGTGGTTAAAATGGTCATATTAAATAAGCCCTTTGTTATGAAATATTTTTATTTAATTTGAAGGTTTCACTTCTACGTGCGTGTGAACTGCACAAAAACATATAACATAAACACTCACGCCTGTCACCCAGAGGGGTAGGCAGAGACTACAGACTTCCATTTGGCATGAACCTGACACACCTCTCTTGCCTCCTTCACATCCATACACCTAAGCATACATGCTCGTCGGTTAAGGATACTCCTAATTTGGCCCGTTTTCAATAAATCGCCAATTTGGTCGATAAATTTTCGTCTAGGACGTCCCTTTCCGACTCTGCCATTCACTTCTGCAGCATAAATTTTCTTTGTCACTCTTTCTCATTCATTCTTTCCACATGACCAAAACCACCGAAGCGATCCTTTCTTAATCCTGGTCACAACATCATCTTGCAAACCACACTCTTCTCTTATTACACAATTTCTTACCCTGTCGTTCAGATTCAGCCCTAACATACTTCTTAAGGATCGCATTTCTACTGCGTTGATTCTACTCTCGTGCTTCTTCTGCCACACCCAACTTTCACTACCATACGTTA